AATGCCTGCTCCCGCCTGGGTGAGGCGGAAGGGAGTGTCAGACTCTTACTGACTAAAAACCACCCCGTTCCTTCTCCTGCACGTCGAGCTGGAGCCCCGGTTACCCGTTAGGTTCTCCGCGACTCCGAATCGGCATCGGCCCTGTTGGGCCCCATCTAAATCCAATGTATACATAGCACCCACAATAAACATTAACTCAAAACTTCACAAGCATGATAATAACAACACTACTTATGTTTCCAAACCATGCATAACATGGGGCACTGCTCCTTTACACAAAAGCCATGACAATGGTACAAACACCAATTTGTCATGCAAGGGACACACGTCAAGTGAAACAAATGAATGCGCAATCCATGCACAAGTTAGTGATGCACGAAGATGTTGATGAGACATTCTGATCTAGTTACTTGAAGAAACGTGACGCTCATATGAATTCGAAGAGCCATCTTGTTCCCAAGACTGCATAACTTGCAACTGTATTCAACAACGTTACTTATTGCAGAAGGGTAACATAGCAGAATAGAATTCATGTTCTTCCTAAGGGTGTAGTAATAATAGGTGTAGCTGGCCAAGGTATGACTGCCTCGTTGGCCGAGTGGTCGCAAGGGCGACTGCCGGGCACGGGGGCTCGGGTTCGTTCCCGCAAAGTAGTATAGGGATTTTTCAAAAAAATCTCAGTAGTAGTACAGAGTCTGAAATTGTGCCCGTTATATGGCAATAGGCTCACCCCCTATTATTACATGGAATTCATAACATAAATAGTAAAATGTGGGGTTACATTGGACAGTGGCATAATGTGCACCTCTGCCTACCCCTTCGCGGATAAAAGGAGTGATGTTATGTTATATTTAAAAACTCGTTAAACTATCATTACGGGGCATTATGCACCCTAATGCGATAGCTAAGAACTTAAACAAACCAACACCAACTAAACTATTATAAATTAAAATATTTATAAACAAAAATGAGAAAAAGCGATACATCATTTTAACATCGTTTTAGAACAGTTTCAAGGCAAGAATTTTTTAAAGAAATCTAGTTAATGTTTATGACGTATGATCTATTTAAAATGCGTAGTTAGGTAAGCTTACTATTATAAATGAATCTTAGTAGTATCGGACTAGATGAGACACAGACACAAATGAAAGTACGGATTGAAGTTACACACAAATATCACGTCTGGAAACTTGAAACAAGAAATAACTGGAACCGCCTTTAGAATCTAGATCATGTAAATATTTGTTCCGTGGTGGACGAAATCTATACTATTCCATATGTATTATATGTAAATGGAATTAAACAAATATCGTTAAAAACAAATCTATTTTCGGTCTTTAAATTGCCTACTATTTTAAATAAAAATCGTGGGTTACTCACGTGAATATACTCAGAAAAGCTCTACTAGTTTCGAACCACAGAGGAGTACTCTACAGTAGGCTACGCTACATTGCCGCGACCGCGCACGCTGCTCATGAGGAAGAACCCCTCTGTGGTTCGAAACTAGTAGAGCTTTATCAGTATATTCACGTGAGTAACCCGTGATTTTTAGTTAATTTAGTATGTCCCACGATAATTATTATAAAACATACCTAGTATTTTCTGCCAGTACGTTTACCTGCGTCTTCTTCTTCTCTGTCGTTTCGCTCTTGGCAGAGCGGTCGTGGTCACGTTGAGGCGGCCGTATTTGTGTTGGTGGCCGATACAGCTTTCCTCACGATCTCCCACCATCTCTCTCTGTTTGTGGATTGTCTGGCGCAGTCTGACACTGAGTACGTAAGTTCAAAATTTGCGTGTCATTTCAAACTACATATAATCTGTCTCTATGTCAAACTACGTTCCAAATTCGCTTTTTAGTGGAAGCCGCGGTAAATGAGGGAATCACCCATGGACACCTGCAACACCAAAAGAATGACAAGTCTGTTAGTCGTCATCAAAGATTCAACGTCGCCTATGGACACCCACATCACCAGAGGAGTCACAAAGTCAGTACGTTGGGTCTTTGAAGTTTAGTTCAGCATTTTTTTCAAGAGATACAAACATACAAACAATAGATAGCTACACTACCTAACACAAAGTTCAAAACCCAGAGTTTGAAAACCGCATGGCATTGTTTGCTCGCTTATGGTAGGTGTAAGTACCATTCATCTGACCCGACCAAGCGACGTAGCTTGCGACTGTACCGTTACGATAACTAGGGTTGGCACTCGTTTACAAGCAACACTTGCAAAACAATTTGATCTACGTGTTTTTCGGACTATAAGTGTTTTTCTGTCATATTTAGTCATACGTTTTCTGTTACGATACGGATTCCCTCTTTATAGGGGTTTGGTTATAGTTCAAACGGTTACCAGGTGACTTGCGGGCAGTTAGATAAGGGGTTCTCTATTTAAAATGTGCTTGAAATTAAAATTCATTGTAGTTGTCCTCTTACACTGAACGTCTCTTCGAGGAAAACCGTTTTTATTGTTATATTCAAACCTCATTGCTTAAATGAATAATACATCTTTATTATTATTACTGTTTTCATTAAAAATAAAACAAAAGCAGGTCATTGGAACAACAGTAAAATGGAGGTGGATATTTTTCATATAAACTTTAATGGAATTGATTTAAAGTGAGGAGTGCCGAGTGGCAATACACTCAACATATTTTCCACGGAACTTTGGTGAGTGGTTCGTAATCCCACTTTATTCCACTCTAGATATAGTTTAATAATAACTCTTTTTTGTGCTCTGAAAAGATTTTTTAATCGTATTTTCATTTCATTATATCAGTATGTCACATGTAGTTGGGTATGGTGAACTTCATTACGTATAAATACTTCAAAAACACATTTAGAAAAAAAAACATGAAACATTTCATCATCTTCCTTTGTTCAATTCACAATAGTCCCGGAGACAGCGACCTTTTTATCCGCACCATCTTACTTCTAACTTTTGACAACCATAACGACGACCTTCGCACGTACAAACTACAAACCGACGTCATATTTATTATACCTGGTCGTATAGAATTACTCTTTTTTAACGGAACAGGAACTGACACGGTAACCTTAAAACGAGAGGTATGAATCCTTATCCAATTAGCCGTACACATTAGCGTCGCGCGAACTGACGGCACTTAGTACATTCTGTGTTTATTTACACTCGCCTTTATAATAGGCTGGATTTACACGTGCGAAGAGGTTTATTGTTAAAGTACTTAAAAGGGCTTAGTTTGTTATTGATGCGTTGGAAATGTCAAGGTGTGTTTTTTGTGAATAGTACAATTTTTATTTCTTGGTAATTGATATTTTTTCAGATTTTCCTCTTTTTGATGGCGTTAGAATCGTGTTTTTGTTAGATTTTGCTTCGTAGTAAATTGTAGATATTTATTCGCGCGTTAATTATCATGAAAGTTCGAAAAAGGAGTCTGATGGCCAGTGTGTGTAAACCAAGCTTTAATGACACGGTCACGATCATTGTAGTTGAAGCGATCGTTGTACCGGGACGCAAATTACATGTAATTTTTTGTACTAACGATAATCATGTACAAATAATGTGCCAAGTACCTCAATCAAATCTGGTCAGTGTGAAAAATAAACTTATATTTAATATTGTTACTAAGTGAGCGTAAAAAATATAAATCCCACTTTATTGGTACGTGCAAATGAAAGTAGAATTAGATCTAAGATTAATAGCTGTGTTCTTCAAGGCATTGCACGCAAGTAGTCGATTCTACAATGACATTAAAACATCATAGTAAGTTGTGCGTAAGTTTTTGACGTCACTTTGATTTAACGCAACGATACACGCAAGCAAGCCATATAAACATGCATTACTCACGTAGCTTGCATATGGAGACAATAACAAATGACAACCATGTGGACAAAACGATTTTTGTCAACTTATATATGAGTCATAACGTTGTCCTTGACTTTGTGATTTTGATGAACATTTTTGCATTTTTTACTGCTTGCCTGCTTTTAGATCTTTGACCGGTGCGGTTACGTAAAAAAACTCTGTAAATGTTCACAACTTGTTTTTTTTAAATATATTGTTGTTGTTGTGTTCATGTTATTAATGGATTATTGTTTATTTTGTAATTGGAAGTTGGAAATAATTCTGAAAAAGAAAGTGTACGTCGGACCCCGTATTATTGTCAGAAATCTGTAACAGCAAATCAGGTTCTTTTGTAATACAAAATTTGTATTGAGGGTTCCGTAAATACAAAACGTTATTTAGATTTAATCTTATCATTTTTGCCTTTATCATAATTTTGCAATAAAAATGTGACGTTGAACTTAACGTATTGACTGATAAAATAACTTGAAGTAATTATTTCGAAACATGTCAAATCAAAACACAACAAATAACAACTCAACAGAGTTCTTGATGAATTTGATTATTGATAACTCACTTTTTGCTTTGAACAGCCTTTCCGGAATAGGAGATTAGTAATTGAATCTCTTTTGCAGGTACCTTCTGGGAACGGAACCCAACAAAGGTCCAATTTATTATGATTCCGAAGGTCAAATAAGAATTTTAGAATCGCCAGTGATTCGATTGCCCTTCGTTATTATAGCTCAGTGTTATTAACCTTTTGGCATTTAAAACGTTTTTTGTATCAGAAAAGCATAAGAAATACTTAATCAGACAAAAAAATGCTATCGACATCTTCATATATGCGTTCTTCATTAATATTTTTGTTAATACGCAAAAAAATTTACTGTGGTTATTTTTTTAAATTTCTATCGTAATCATACGATTAGTTTTCTGTATAATATTAATCTGACAAAAAAAATAAGACAGTGTGCGATCTTTACTTTTTTGTGTTGACCTTGAACTTAAAATGTAACTTAGCTTCTGAAGTTGTGTTTTTCTAAGATTAAATGCCGACGACACGTATAATTTTAAAAATATTGACATGAGCCTTTATTATTAGATAGGATAGCTTTAATCACGGCTGAACTAACATGATATTTTGATTTCTAATCACCTTGTTTCTTTCTTCCTCAGATGGGAGCAGGTGCGAATGGGCCCGGTGGGCGACGAGCCCTAGAACTGATTCTGAGTGGAGGGCTCAAGTCCTTGGCACGACCAGCGAAGCCAGTCCGCAGGGCTGCCTCCAGGGACTCCGTGCTGTCGCAACCACAGCCCTTACTTGAAGGTCAGTATATTAAACAATTCAAGTTACTTAGCTTCGTATATATGTATGTAAGAGTGTTTCTGAATGTTTTTGATACAAATATAGAACTCATTGAAGGTGAAACTAGGGTTCTGTCACCGATCTACAACACCTTCCGATCTTTAACACATCACAATTTTATTTCACATTCACATACACATGGCACTAGGTGCCACTAGGTGCCCGGAACAACTGTCTATGGATTACACAAAGTTGCTCCGTACGGGAATCGAACCTGCGACACGTTACGCAGGAACTATAACCTAACCGTGCAGTCAATCACCTATTTAAGTTCTATGTCGATAAAAACTATCAATTTAATTTACCAGCAAATAAATAAAAATGTTATAATGAAAAATATAAATTACACCGCTATTTCTACAAGCTTCGCTTCATAACCTAGGCCTCCTGGCCTAGGTTATGAAGCGAAGCTTTTAAAATATTTCGTTAATTAAAAACTGATTTATGTAATTGCGTGATGTACTTTTAAAACGGTTTAGTTTTGTAAATGTTAAGATTACTGCCGACTGTGAGGTTTCGGGGTTGATCTCTGATGCAAAATAGTATTTTTTATATATACAACATAGAAATCAAATACTACGGATCATCTAAATAGATAAATAAAAATGGAGTATCTGTTTGTAATATTTTAATAACCGCCTTTTTACTAATATACATTAATATACATACGATACACATACCAAAATAACATTTTTTGTCTGTCTGTCTGTCTGTCTGTTTGTACTGGCTAATCTCTGGAATGGCTGGACCTGGATTTTGCAAGAACTTTAATGGCAGGTAGCTGATGTCTAAAGGAGGAACATAAGCTACCGTTATTTTAGAAAATTAAAACAAAAAAAAAGTTATATTCTAAAATTCACATTCTACGCGGACGAAGTCTCGGGCAAGTAGCAGTAAGTGGCTAGTTTATAAAAAGATTGTAGTCATTTGCTTATTTTGATAGCTTTCATATACAAATTATCAGTTTTATATATTATGATTGTTACGTATAGTTTTTGCAAAGTTGATTGATTCCCACCCATCTGTCACGCCCACACGACAAATTGCTTTATTTTTCAGTACCATAACAATTTTTTGCATAATTACCGTAAAAAATATTGTAAAAAACGACTTCAAACAAACAATTTTAAGAGCATTGATATTAATTATTATTTTATTACGATTTTTACTAAAAGTAGACTTCGTATTTAGTTATACGCGTGCTAAATATTAAAGTCTTAAATGCGCCCTAGTGAAAAACTTAACTTATTAACAATCCAGGGAAGATATGGAATTTAAACCGTATTTTTTCTACTATTTATTACGCAAACATTGCCCCACGCTAGTCCAATCTTACAAACATACTTTATACTTAAATCCACAGCTGAACGTAGGCTTCCCTCAAAAAATATGAAATTTTTCTATTAAGAATATATAAAAAAACAAATTTTCTACCACCCAACCAGTAATCTTATAAGCATCATAACCAGAACACGAGGCTCTATTACCCCAGGGAAGCGATATATATTGCTATTAATAAATTACTCACATTGGCACTGAATTGGGTCGTCAACTCACGCTCCTGTGTGGTGTGTCAAGGGTCCGTGATTGCCAATTAGCAAGCTACTCGTGACAGTTTGTTGTTGTTCAATTTTCACATTGTTTTTAATTTTAATTACATTTTTTGATCGGTTATTTTCAAATATAGTATATGTAGGTTAGGGTGTCCCAAAAAAATAAAAGTCGTTGTTTTTGAACGCATACCCTCTAATTATTTTCGAATAGTGTTAAAATACACGTAAATAAAGTTTCATTTGCCTAGAACCACAGCAACCCGTGCCGACTTGCGATGATAGATGTCAGTACTTGCATATTTTGATGCGTCACAGTTATCGTATCGTAGTGCTTGTTATTACTTGTTTGTTCTATTGGTGAACATATTATTTACATTTAGTCAAGATGTCAGTAAGATAACGCAATTGTAAAAAGTGCATTTTCTTGATAGGGGTTCTAAAACATCAAATTACAGATTTTAAATCACCCTCCATTGACAAGTATTGACAGTTGTGTTTTACAATATTGAATTTAAGCATCAAAAAAGTACAAATCTTACTATTCGAGGATGTATTATTTATTGAGGAAAGACCCGTGTACCAATTAAAGCATTATCCAAGTGTGGTAAGACACTAGGAACCTTATACTAAGTTTGGAGAGATCTGCTAAAAATGCGAACAAAACCCAAGACTCATTTGAACGGTGTCGTCAAGTTTCTTTCGAATTTGGACAATTTGTTCGACATTGCACTTCCTGATGCTCTTAAATTAATAAAGATTGGATTTTCTTGCAGCGACAAAGAGATCCAGGCAGGCCTGGTCACTTAGCTGGAGTGCACAAAAAGTTGGCCGATAAAGAGGAAAGTCTCGCCTTAGGAATATATTAGGCTATTTATTAGGCATCCCTTACTACTTCAACTTCATCTTATAAGTTGCAGCTTTAGGTAGGTGTCAATTGAGTATGAAAAAATCAATTCATATTATTAAAGCTACTATTGAGGCACTTGGACTTAAAATTGACGACTTTAAGTTCAAGTCCGACGAGGAAAATCAAAAAATATGGGCAGAAACTATTGAAACTGATTTTTAAAATGAAGTTCCGGATACTGTTACTATCCATTGATATGGAAAATAGTGTAAATCTAAAGAAGAACGCCTTCCTATAGTTATTTCGTATGGTGATAAAGAACAACTTATCGCAGTGTCTAAGTTGGACAATTCTACTGGGAGTAAACAGGCACAACTATTAGTAACGCGGTTACAGATAGGAATCTATAAGACAATGTTTAAATTCTTTGCTGTCATAGCACTGCTTCAAATACTGGTCATATTAACCGATTACTTCATTTTAATCAAAAGCTAGGCCTTGTTCGAAACGTTTCTTATTGATGAAAGTTTTCTACTCGAATGCGCCTTACTTCCTGGTCAAAGAATGTTATTTTCCTACAAGTGAAGACACAAATGATGAAACTGGGAGCCGTTAATGATACAGCCGAAAGAACACTAAAATTCATGCAAGATTTCCTCGGAAAACTCACAGTCGATGAACAAAAACAATTTTACTACATTACGTAGGTACTTACCCTACACAGACTGAAATATCCTGACTACAAAATAATAACCTTAAAGACCAAATTTTTAAAATAACATTATTTTAATAATAAATATACATTAACTAGTAAAATAACATTTAAATAGAACATTACAGCTAAGTTTAAATTTTTTTCCTGACAATCTCCATGCAAAATTTTTCTTGAAAGTTTGACATCAAGTCGGCACGGGTTCCCGTTATCCTATACCAATGATATTTTTTATTATAGTTATTAAGGTTAAATAGAAAAAATATAGAGGGTATGCATACTTAAAATCGAAAAAAAAAAATTTCGCCCTTGTTGACTGGGACACCCTGATGTAGGTACTTCCTCGTTTGCACCATCTACGTAGATGGATATTTGGCGTGTTTATGGTTGGTTTTTTATTTGACTTTTGTTTTTTTTTTTATATTTTTGTGAGTGTTATATTGTTTTTCAGTAAAAAATATTTTTTCCACTTTCAATTATACTTTTTAAATCATAATACTATAATTTCTAAGTTTGATTATAATCTAGATTTGTTCGTTCAAACATCGAAGTACAATTACTAAAATTAAAATATGTATTTGGTATGGACTTGTTGTGTCTCTTAAAATGACCATTTATTTATTCAGGTCCTTTATAATTATCATAACGACCCACATAAGTAAACAAACCAAATTACATGGGATTTATCCTTGATATAAAATTAATTAAATGACTGTAATAATAATGAACCAAAGTGTTGGAACGATGACACTTTCGTAATACAAAAATGACACTTTCATTAATATTATCATTTAAGCGGATATTTAAAAAAAATCATGCATACTTATGAAGTGACGTAAAAATATAACGTCAAGGAGTCTTATTTGACAGATATGTGACGAGTTCGTTTACAATGACGTTGACGCGTTGTCGCCTTTTATTTTCCCTAAAGGGAAGAATGATACCTATTTAATGTTATACACATGGGTAGTTACTGACTTTTTGCCAGTTTTTTGTGTAACATGTAAAAATAGGGTACCTGAGTTACTATCAAGTACACTGAGCTCATTCCAGACTCTGTGTTTTGGTGGGCATTTTCCAACAATACATTTTCTTTTTTTTGAGAGCCCTGAGAAGTATGTGTTGACTAAAATTGAGTGATCGAGTGAATAGTGTTATTAGAGAAAGGTGTGGATTGAAAGATGATGTAGTGACAAGAATTGAAAAGGGAATGTTACGCTGATTTGGACATGTAGAAAGGATGGATGAAAGTAGAGTAACGAAAGAAGTATACAGAGCGGATATGAATGGGGCGGTCAGTAGAGGGCGCCCTAGACGGACATGTACTGACCAGATTGGCGATATATTAAAGAAGGGCCAAATTAAAAGTACCTTTAACCGACGAGTATGCATGAAAAGATTGATGACTGTTGATGAAGCGAAAGAGGTATGTAGGAATCGTAGTAATTGGCGCTCCATAGTCTCTGCCTACCCCCATGGAAGACAGGCGTGAAGTTATGTATGTATGTACATTTCCTTTTTTGACTCTTCTACCAAATTGTCTTCTTCTTCCAATTTCTCCTATCAGACGTCATTACACTACACTCCTTCTTATTGTTCTTCTTTCATGTTATTTCTTACACAATATTATCTGTGTTATCATCTGTCTCTCTATTTCTTTCCATCCACATTACAATTATCCACTCGCTCTATGATAATTTAGTCATAGGTTGTTTACATTTCGTAAAAAAGAGAAATATGCATTCAATGTTTATTGTTCCAAGTCTTCTCCTATCTCTAAAATACAACATTAAATCGGTGAACATCGTAAAACAAAGTGTAGTACAATATCATTTTACTCAACCCTCCGAGACTCCAACGTTACAGTAATTGCAAAAACATCGTTCCAGTCAATATTTGTATCTTTCAACGAGTGTAGCATGAAAACGATTGAATTTTATATTTTCTCGTACATATTGCTTCTCCGTGCCATGTTTGTATATGAACGATATTATATTTTAACAAGAATCTCGATCAGAGTACCTATTGCGAGTGTTTTACGTTAACGCAAGCGACACGTTTATGACGTTCGGCGCTCTGAGTGCCAAGCACGAATAACTATCGCATTCGTAACGCAATAGTATCGGGCGCGTTCGGCGCTCTGATTGGCCGGCTCAAGTGAACCAACCAATCAGAACGCTTAACTCGCTCATAATAGTAATTCGTGCTTGGCACTCGGAGGGCCAAGCACGAATAACTATCGCATTCGTATCGTAATAGTATCGGCGCGTTCGGCGCTCTGATTGGCCGGCACCAGGGAATCAACCAATCAGAGCGGCGAACGCACTCGATACTATAACGTTACGAATGCGATAGTAATTCGTGCTTGATACACAGGTTGGCTACTACAAGTTACCCAACCAATTAGAGGGCTAACGTTTCGTTCGCGATAACGTTTCAAATGTGAGCCTAAAAAACTTGCTTTAGGCCCTCAGGCCACGTGCGAAAGTTTGCGAAAAAGCTAATATCTATTTTTATCGTGTCGGTATATTTCCTTGTTGTGTAGTGTCTTCCTTGAGCGATATCTGGAATTTCTTATAGCTTTAGTAATAGCAGATAAAGCACCTGTACTGAGAGTTTTATAGAATTTCCGAGAATTCGTGGGTATTTTTTCCTTTGGAAAGATCTTTGTGATAGTTAAAGCTACGTACATAATAAGAGGAAAATGAAAGGGTAAACTATTTGTATCTAAATAAAAATATACTGCTTTTCCCTCAACCATTTCTTTAATGTGTATCTAAACGTGGATCCACGGGAGACTCCATGTATTTTCTATTGTGTCTCATATACGGGCATTCAAGCGGTTAATTTGCGTTTCCGAAAAAGGAAATGACAATTTCTGAAGATAATTTCATAAAAACATGCACCCTGATGCACCTTCAATTAATGGATATTTGTGTTCGTATCGGCAAAGACTGATGATAAACCCCTGACAAATCTACCAACCATATCCTTTAAAACATAAATTACTTACAGTATTATATTAAATACGTAGTAAAAAACCAAGTCGCTATCCGCCGTCTGTCTGTTCCTATGTATGCTTAGATCTTTAAAACTACGCAACGGATTTTGATGCTCTTTTTTTTAATAGTTAAAGTGATTCTTATGGAAGGTTTATATGTGTATAATACATGCATATTGCACCCGTGCGAAGCCGGGGCGGGTCGCAAATCAAGTGCACTTTTTCTTTTTTCACTGTATGTATCGTAATTCGTTTATACTTGACCGTCAAAAGTTCACCTTTCACAAATTCGAAAGTGAAGTTCGAAAGTTTTAAAGGTCCTTTGTTCAGGTTCTGCACATCCTGATGGCATACCTTCATATCAAGCTATACAAAACCAGTTTAATATGCTCTCACTTTGTGCGATCTTTCCACAATTTCATCGGTCAGTTTATACTGGTTCTGCATAGCTCGACGTGTTGCCGTGTGTAGTCGTGATCATGTTTTATGTTCGATTTCCTTATAGGCCAATATTATGCTGTATTGTTTGGTTCCCTTCAAAATGTTCGCCCTTTATTTTGATATGATATATTGTTTTCTGTAGAAAATTAGAAATAAAACCTTTTCTCCCATGAAAAATGATGGGTTTTCCTGTAGACATTTGAAAATATTTCCGTTTATTTTTAAACATTTCGATCAATCACATCTTAAAAAATTTATATAATTTCATATGTCTCCACGAAAAGGCAGCAGAAAAAAACGTTATCCTTAAAAAAAATTTACAACATTGTGAAAGAAAGAAAGAAAGATTGTTTATTTGTAAAATATGCGTATACATAAATCGAGTAATCAGACATGCAAGCATGTGCTTGTGCACAGCATTGCGAGCATGTGCTTAGATGATGTATGACCCCTGCACCGCAACGTGTTACCATTCGTATATAAAATATCTATATAATTAAAAGCACGTGTAAGCTCAGATTAAAAAAAAGCAAAAAAAGCATAGATAAGGAAAACTAGTCTCCCAAAACACGTGAGAATTGAGAAGTTCATATTAAATTATAAGGTTTGAATTGAATTAAAATTTGATTTCATCTTTGAAAATTATGATCGACAAAATAAACAATAAGTAATAATTGGTTGGCTCGACATTAAGGTTTATTGACTAGACATCAGAATCGTTATAGTTTTCAAGGTAATAATATAATTGGATAGTTTATAGTAATCATTATTTATGGTTTTAGGTAGGTAAAATCCAGAATTGGTCTAATTTTGACTGCAACCAACTACCGCATAACGTGTAGCGGTTTTTCATATTGCTGTTTCTAAACGCACTCATGACATGACCCAAGAGAAAATCCTAGAGTGTGGCAAAGTTTAAAAAAAATTGACAGTCCAAAGCTCATGGTCTCGATTTGGCTATCGTTCTTTCAATCAATTAAATTTAATTAAACTTTTTATTTCGGATAAAAAATGTCTGATTTTAAGTTGTCTACCTCACTACCTTCACCAAAACACAATACAAACACGTTACTTAAAAAAATTGACAGTGGCATAAAGTAGACATCCGAAACGACCACGAAACACACCAAAAATAACCGTGTTAAGTGCATTTCAAAGTTACAGTTAAAAACAAAACAATACACCTTTGTAACACTCATTCGTTAGCAGTTTTCATGGAACAGATGAATCATCAACGAAAGGTGTTTTCCTTGTTTCAAGTCATTAACTTTCTTCAAGCCTCGGCCTTTATTCTCTAAACAGAGTAATTATTCAGTGCCATATTCTATGGTAATCCTTTATGTCTAGTTACACATACACGACTGTCATCTGCCATAGGCTATAACAAAATCACAAAGAATAATATGACGAATTAACCAACACTTAAATTCCTAATCCTCAAAAGGCCGGTAACGCACTTGTAAGGCTTCTGGTGTTCCAAGTATTCATGGACAACGCCGATTGCATACCATCAGTAAAACGAGCATATCCCATAAAAACATAAACTTATTTCCTCCATAAATGTTAGACGACTGACCTGGATAGATTTAGCATACCACCGAGAAGTGTAAAATCACCGCAAAACCTGAATAACTAACCCATTCCAGAACATTTGAAGTTCCTCCTTGCATAAATTATAGCCACAATTAAGTTATTTGCATTCGAATTTCTAGCAACTTTATCCAGTCAAACAGTAATTTGATTACCTTCCCTTTGACACGAGTTCTGATGCTAAAACCCTGAACTTAAGCACCACTGCAATATTGAAGCCAATACCTGCACAGTAAAGTTATGCCGCAAAGATATTTGCGTTCAACTTCATTAACTTTGGTCCGCTCACCAGAACGTCTGGCTCAATTGAAAGTTATTGAAGTATAAATCTATTCAAACACGACCAACTTGCTTCGGCTTTTGTTAAAAACTAATATCTTCGAGGTCCTTTTGGGATTCATTGTTTTTTTAAAGGTCATCTCCTGAAAGTAAAGGTAAAACATGAACAGTTTTAAGTTAAAGATGATGATGAGATTTACACGCTAAACAATTTTGACGGTGAAAGACTATTTATAAAATGTTTTTTGGACGCAGACGAAAATAAAGGGATTGGAAGAATAATTCTTACTTTACGTGCTTTAAAAATGTGCTGGAAATACCTACTATTGGCCCATTGGCGTACTCCTATCTGTCTTCAATCCTGTTCATAACAACAGTGCCGTTATTTTTAAAGGATGATAAATTTATAACTGCTCTTTTCCATCAGGTCTTCGGAAATGCTCGACAGTACTCGCGTTGACCGACCGCGAGAAGTCATCAGAGCCGATGAGGGCTCACAATAGACTACGCGCGCCCTCCGTCTGCTCCCGTTGTTCCTCGCTGTTGTCACTCGCTGGTGCCGGAGGTTCCAGGTATGTTTTTATAACTTATTTTCAAAGTTTGAATAAAGCATTATAATAATTTCTCCTACAGCTTGTTAGGAAACAACTGGTATCCAAGAATGCAGTTGTCAATGTCTTGAAATGTATAAAGATGGCGAATAAGAAATATTCAGCTGTATCTAGGTTAAGCTCAATGCTGATCCCAACCTAAGTAAACCTCCGAAGAAAGAGAAATAAAAGTATTAGGTATTAATTCACGAATCTTGAAAACTTCAATAAAAAGTCTATAAAACTTGCCACAAAATACTGTTACTTTAGCAGCCAAATTGGCATAATATACATTTTATTATAGCAAACACATGCAGAGCTATATTAGCAGTTCCGTGCATCATAGGAGCTTCTAGAAATGCAGACCAGTTTTACATTTGATGGCCTTTCAAGGCGATTGACCTGACCTGATTCTGACAAAAAACTTGACATGCTTCTGACAGGCAGCTATCAAAGTATCAAGTTGTAACTGTTTTGACTGCATCGTTAGGCTAATGGTATGGGTACATGACTGCATCACGATATCTCCGGTTGGATCCCTTGGGTCGGACAGTTTTGTATAGTGCTTTTATAATAAACTTGTCTAAAGTCGGTGGTGTTCGTGTAGCGTGTCTCAGAAAGCACTTAAAGCCATACCCTCTGGACGTATCGGATTGCTGTACTGTCGGATATTGAGAGGCAGAGCAATATTGAAGTGGGGAAGTATTTGAGCATTTGTCTTGAATTTCGCAAAAATATTGTCTCAGAAATGAACATGGGTAATGGAATCGGGTATTATTATGAAAGCCATACAATGCTTTGTGTGCTTTTAAACCATCAGCTGCGCCTGATCTTTCTCTGATCATGTTTAATTGCCACTCTATCAAATTATTGAGAGCAAGGAAACAGGGAGTGCACTTGTGTTAGCATTAGCACCCATTTGTGTACTATATAACTATAATATTTCCTGTGTTACCTAGTCTCTGTTGAGGAGACTAACCATCTATTGGTTATTAGACCATTTTCAATTACTGTCATATTATAATCTTTTTTCCATTTAACCAGGTATTCTCTGGACGGCGCTGGTAGTGGCTTCGTCCCGGCAGCTCCTATTAACTGCAAGCTCTGTCTGGAAGACGCGACAGTTGATAAGGTCACCCTCATCTCCGGCTGTGGATGTTCCTTCTGCACTAAGGTCAGTAGTAGAAACGTTTTGTCATTTACAGGATTATACAATATTATAGAGGTAATATCGGATATTGGCATTAAAGGAAGGATGATGAATTGTGGATGAAGTTTTAAAAAACAGCAGTATATTTGTATCTCGTTTGGCGTGGTGGGTGTCCTAGGTCTTAGGGAGGTACCATCACGATGGTATTTACGTCGCTATGGGGATGCTGAACAGGTACCATCAGATGAAGAGAACTTGGTTATTTACTTCCTATCTCTTTAAAAAAAATATTTCTAATTCCGAATACTGATTGATGAGGTTTAATTTAAAATCGTGTCCAAGGAAGGAAGACAAGTAAAGGCAGGAAATTAAAATAACAGATAAACTGAACGACTACTTTAATAACTTGGTATTTATTAAGTAACTCACTTAGTACGGAATACTTACCGAACCGGTAAATACAACACTAATTAAACAACAACAACAACATTGTAATCTGATATTCTTTGATTTAATTAGATCAGAAGGTTAAAAAAACATAAATATTTATACTTTGTACTGCAATGTACTAACATAGACACTAATTACTGTAAACCACTTATTTTGTGTTATTACTGTGAATTGTATGTCTTTTATTAAATCTAACAAATTTTATCTTTTTCGAAAAAAATAATTACGTTTAAATTTTACACTCACAGAAAACCGACGTAAAACACTTTTTTTTTAAGCGGGCATAATCATCGATTGACTGCTCGCCTGACACTCTCCAGACTCCCTCCCGCCTCACCCAGGCGGGAGGGAGTGTCAGACTCTTACTGACTAAAAACCACCCCGTTCCTTCTCCTGCACGTCGAGCCGGAGCCCCGGTAACCCGTTAGGTTATCCGCGACTCATGTGAAACAACACTTGCGTTGTGTTTTGTCATGTGAGTGAGGTTACCGGAGACCCAATTAAACCCTCCACCTCTTCCCCAATTCCGAACCCCTGAAGGCCAGTAACGCACTTGTAACGCCTCTGGTGTTTTACATGTCCATGGATTGCTTACCATCAGGTAAACGTCCGCCGGCTTGTCCCATTAAAAATATTATGAGCTTTATCAAATGTGGAGTTCCTTAGTAGGCTCTCACGACACCTGCAGATGGAGAAGGGGTGGTGACGAGTGTATTCTATTACACCATCACCACAAGGCAAATATTAATCATGTCAAAAACGAAGTATTTCAACATTAACAATCATATTCGTTAATTTGACAGAACATTAATTTGATTTTCAATTTATTGACAGCAAAAAATATGAATTCAAATTTATCATAACAATTATGACGTCATAATACAATATGCACAAATGTCAGTTTTTGACATTTCGATAGATTGCACTCAATTTAATGCACTTTTTTATTAGTTATTTGATTAAGTGTAATAAATATTGTTCTTCCTTATAATCAATCTTCGTACTAGTGAATGATGTGATAATAATTTTTGTGTCTGTGTTTTTGTAAATTAAATCATGCAAAACTGTCTATCACAAAAACGACTGTAACTAAATCAATGAAACTTTCATCAGTCTCTTACTGACTAAGGGCCGATTTTTCAATGCTCAAATAAATTTTAACTGAGGAATTACTTTCAATATTTGACAACTCTTCCATACTGAAATCTGTCAACTGTCAATTTTTATTCTACAGTTAAGAATTAAACTTTTGATTGAAAAATGGACTCTAAAACTCAAATGTTTTTTTTTTCTCTATATCTATATAAATACGAGTATTTATTTGTCCTTTTCTTTTTAAATTTTGTATTTTTTTTTTGTATCTGTGTGCGTGCCTGCTGTCGAATAAATGTTTTTCTTTCTTTCTTTTTTCAAATATAGGATATGATTTACTTTAAAATTGACAACATTTCTAGGTAGTTGCCAGCGTAAAAAGTGCACAGTTAATTTATTAGCATACGTCTTGTGACGTTATCAAGTTCTAGGTTAGCCCCGGTCTATTCCTAGACGGGTTGTTGACCTCACATCGAGTCAGATGTGGCATAGCATGATAACTCTATTTGTAAACATGTTTTTTAAAATAAAATGCAAATAATTGTTGTTTCTCTTCACGTATGAAGGTGTATGAAAGTTGAAGGTACTTGTGTTAGTTATGAATTTAAGCGGATAGGTAAAATGACTCTTTAAAATGCAGCCGAGACAGACAAGTTTGATATTTCATTAATTTTTCAGTAACTATTGTGAGACATACTAAATTAACTAAAATCGCGGGTTACTCGCTTGATTATACTGAGAACAGCTCTACTAGTTTCGAACCACAGAGGGGTTCTTCCTCATAAGCAGCGTGCGCGGTCGCGGCGACGTCGACGCCAGTGAGCTGCGCGACGTCGGCGTCGCCTATGGCGTATGTATGCACTCACTTAGTCTATGGCAATCGGCATACTACTTGGAACTAAGATTAATTGTGAAGAAATGGTGTTACTCTATAAGTATTGCTCCTTTGCCTATGCCGTTAGGGATCAAAGGTCGTGACGTTATGTCATGTTTTAAAATTAAGTTTTCTGCTACATATGTATAAGGATATGTTAGTATAAAGGATGCAAAGTACGAAATTATAATATTTTTAATTAGTTGTGTAGCGGTGCGGTTTTAATTTCCCAGTAAAGATTATGAATAATTCAAGTTTAATATCTATGAACATAATATTTCCTTTTTGTTTTTCAAGGTGAAGTTATTGTTTAAAAGGTTTTTAATTTAAAATGGCCACGGTTCGTTGTGAAATATTATTTTAGTCAGTTTTGAAGATATATACTAGATGATGTTGAGATAACGTAATTTAATGTATTATTGTTGATGCGTCTCTATTTGATCTATTTAGACGGTTTTATTTAGTTATTATGTTTTCGGCTTACTCACGTAATTATTTGACGAGAAACTCGACTAGTTTCAAGCCATGCTAGAGGCTCATATTCATAAGCAGCATTTCGCGATATGCGACGCGGCTCGCCGCGGCGACAGTCGCGCTGCTACTTTTATTTAGTTCGCTTCATTTTTTTGTAGTAATTGAAATTTGACCTTCTTCCTGACGACAGGTCGATCTGATATTCAGTACAGACTCTTGATAATTTTAGTAATATTGAAAGAAGAAAGAAATATCAATAATTTATTTGCCATTAGGCACGTTGATGCACCAAATACGCAAACATAATTATAATGTTTTCGGCTTACACACGTAACAGTTTCAAGCCATGCTAGAGGCTCATATTCATGAGCAGTATACGACATAAAAACTGCAAGCTCCAACTTGCCTGCAATTATGGCAAACCCTTTTATGTACAACAGGCCTATAGACCAGCAGTGAGAGCATAGACTGTTGATGACCATAATTATATTTTATTAATAACTATGAAGAAAGTCGTGTTAGTTACACTATTTATAACTCAAGAACGGGTAAAGAGTGGGGAGGTAGATTAGAACCAGGAGATGACATAGGATACTTTTTATCCAATACTTCTTTTTTTACTTTTTACCGAAAATCACGTACAGGATCGGGGAAACACGGGCTTAATCTTACAGAGTCTCGGGTAAAAGCTAGTTGAGTTCATCATAAAATTATCTTATTTACCATCGTTGAGAGTACTAGATTTAATAACTAAATCGTGTTTGTTATTTATTTAACTCTCGTCCCAGATAGTTTAGACGGCGAGAGCTACTAACAGCGATTTACAGTTCAAGTTAACTTTTTATTTACAAAACGGTTTTGATTTGACCTAGTAGACGATATTGGTGTATTACTGAGGCCTGTACGAGTTTATTTTACGTTTAAAATAATCGTAACGAGTACGCGTTCGGTCCTGTGATTGGCCGGCTCTAATGAACCAACCAATCAGAGTGCAGAACGCCGTCTCGTTTCGATTACTTTAAACGAAAAAGAAACTCGTACTAAGGCCTCTGATTGGTTGGTTTATTTTGTCGCCGGCCAAGCAGAGGCCTTAGTACAAGTTTGATTTACGTTTAAAGTATTCGAAACGAGTACGCGTTCGGCAATCTGATTGGTTGGTTCATTTTAGCCGGCCAATCACAGCGCCGAACGCGTACTCGATTCGAATACTTTAAACGTAACAAACTCGTACTAAGGTAAGGTACTGGTCAGTTTAGTAATCGATTTAGTAGACGATATTACGGAAGGAATATAAGATCTTCTGGAGTATCTTCAGAAGAATAAGATAGTTTAGTAACTATCTTATTCAAGGTTAAAAACCATTATGCTTAGTAGCATAATAGTTATTAACCTTGATATTTAGTATGAGTCTGATAACCGTTTGCACCAACCTTTCCTAAATTTTAAGGTGCTAAGCTAAGATAGGTGGCGTTTTATCACATTTTGGTTTGTCTTATAATAACTATCGTGAGACATACGGAATTAATAAAAGATGATTATTGTTTTTAAAGCACTGGATTTAGTTAGATTTTTTAAATTTATTTCACTTCTCCATCTAATCAGGGCTTTTAGCCAAACGCCAAACTACAGAAGCGCTTGTCTACAGAGAGAGTATAAATCAAAATGTATGGTGATGACACTGACAAGTGTCAAAATTTACGTCAATTCCATATAATTTGGTTTTCTATTCTACATGTAGACAAGCGCTAAACGGCATTTGGCTACAGCTGCAGATCGGTTATATGGTGGGTATATTCATGTATTCTTGTATTCTTCATGTTAATCTGACACGCTCGAGAGTTCAACTACCGAACTCCCTCCGTGGGCTCTTCTACTATTGTTGAGATTTGAGAGCACGGCGTATAGAACCGAATCATATTGTTTTTCTTTACTTTATCATAAAAAATATTCATATTTTAAATTAAAATGCAATTTATCGCTCTTATTAATTGATAAGTAATTTATATAGATCCATTAAATGAATTTATACATTTGTTTTTTTTATATTATTTAAGGGAACTAGGAAGTGTCCAATAAAAAGTGAATTGTAATGTTTATTTAATTAATACTGGTGTTAACGTCTGTCTGTACAGAT